CCTTTACATAAGACTGCAGCTGACTCTGATTGGCTTGTTGACAGGCCAATGAGTAAAGGAGCTGATGTGCTACAAGATAAGAAGTATGCTTTCAGGGAAATGTCATGCTGAGCTCAAGGTTAGACACGACAGAGTCATTATCATTCAGCAAGCACCTCTTTCTCTTCTCTCAGCTTTCTATTGTCTCTCTCAACACTCGATCATAAGGCTGTTTTGTTGTTTATTTTATTTTATTTTTAGGCTTGTTGTCCATCCCTGCCTCGTAGTCTGCAGCCTATATTCAACTTCTTTCTCCAAATGCCTGCCAGCAACCACCTACAAATGCATCCGCCCACCTTTTCATACAAATTCACACTCATGTTCCATGCATGTACCCACACACATGGCATCCATCGTATACACACACATTTTTGAACTCACCTCGTGCGTCTCTGACTGGCTCTCTCTCCGGCTCTCATCCAGGGCCTTCTGTAACAGTGACTCGTCTCCTTGGCGACAGCGCTGCTCCTGCAGGGGCGGTATTGTGACATCATCAGCATTACCATCGTGGCAATGAGTGCAGACCCGCACACAAAAACTGGCATTGGTTAAACACTTTTCTGCTGCTTGGCCCAGCAGACCGAACGCGGCACTGGTGGCTGTTTTGTACTGTTGAAATATTTAGTTTACAAAGAGCAGATGCTGGGTAAGCGCAAAGCAGAGAGAAAATCTTCCAAAATTACACATGAGAGTTGAAGCAGTACTTGTATGAAAAATCATATGAGATGATATCTCCTGATAAGGAGACAGGTGGTAAAAGCTGGAGAAAAGGAAGAAGAGGGTTAGTGAGATCGCCATTATTCAGGACTGTAACTGCCAAAAATTAAAAATAAAGAAACGCACGAATGAATGAATGACTCAAAATACACTAAATGTGCAAAAACAGTGTTAAAAAATAAATGTAAGCGTTAATCAATTTATAAAATGCAACTTAATTGTATTTCTGTTTAAATTTGCTTCCATATTTATTTACATCACAGTAATGCGTCCTAACTCTATTTTCCCTTTAAATTTGCCATTTATTAATTTCATTCCCCGCATCTTGTCAAGTCAATTATGTTCCACTTAATTTTCAGTGTTTTATTTTTGGATAATGTGCTTCTTCTTTATTCTCCAAATGAGGGAGCTGTCATGTAAAATGTAAAGTTTGTGCCTGTTGGTTCACTGGCACCAGGTGCACAGCACAAATGACAGCCTCTAGTCAAAGAGACTGGAGGTGCTTAGCTAATGTAGCTGAAAATCATGCTCTCAGTTTGTACCTTTAATGGCCAAGAAAATGTATACATTAGAACAAAGACGAATAACTAAAAAAATGCAAATGACAAAAGAAATATCAAATTAATGTTACATTTTAAAAATACCAGGAAAATCTCAGTAAAAGCATATGAGCCATGTCGTCAAATACACAAAAAGACACACAATATTTAATAATTGCTTACTTTAAGCTCTGAGGTGTGTTTCTGTGTGTACCTGCACATGCTCCGTTAGGCTAAGGCTTTGAGCAGTCTGTAGTTCTGTGTCTCCATCTGTCTCTATGGTAACAGGGGAAGGAAGGGCTAGCTGAAGGTGGGCGAATGTTCAAAATGTTTGCAACATTTTCATTTTCATTACTGTAATCATCAAGAGGCACTGAATACAGAGGACTTATTTGTGTGTATATGTGGACAGGAGCTACACCTGAGGACATCCACATTATCATACCGTGCGTGTGTGTGTGTATGTGTATTGTTGTGTGTTGTTTTACCTTCTGACTCTCCTCCCTGCTCATGGCTAAAGCCAGCTGGAGCTGTAACTCCTCTTCCCCACTGGTCTGAGGTCGAGCCTTCTCCAGGTCTGAAGCGGCTCGAGGAGACGAGGACGAGGCTGCGGAGGGATTTTGGGAGAATGGAATAAGACCGAGTTAGGAGAAACGATTGATGTGGGGATGATGATGTTCCAGAAAGACAAGAAGCACACAAAGTATGGGGCTCATTTGAATATTTTCAGGCCTACGCTGCAGTATTGATAATCCATGTGGTTGTCCAAAGTGCTGGGTGACAGCGCAAAAAACATTTAATTAGGGATGCGGCAATGATCCTGAATTTAAATGTGTATTTTTAACTCTTGATCTATTTATTCGCAACTTGCTATCATACAATGGAAGGCGGTTAGTGTTCCAGATAAGTTTACTCACAGTTTACTCACAATACTCACAGTTAAAGGAAGACGGAGAGCCTCTGGAGCGACTGAATTCCTCCCCGTATAGCACAGCCATGCTGGGCTGACTTGTGCGTCTGCCTGGGTGATACGCTGGGGGTATACCTCCATAAACACCTCCACCCCCTCCACTGCCTCCACCAGCCATTCGCTCCTTGGTCTTAAGGGCTTGACTCCTCTCCTGGCGCAGCCGCTCCTCGTCCCGAAGGAGGCAGACCAGTTGGCGTGCTTTTTCCCTTACGTTGGCCCCCTGGTCTCTGCCATCACGATCCACATACTGAAAGTCGCGCAGGGTCTGAACCACACACAAAAGACATCACAGTGAGTTTTTTTTAAGTATAAAATTTAGCTAGCTGAACAGACGCAGGGTTGTGGTTAACATGATGTGATCAATAAACAATGATCAATCAGCTCTTTTTGTTGCACTCCAATACCTGAATAGTGAACGCATTCTCACGGCACTGCTGGGCCACCCTTTCTGATCCTGTCTTCAGCAAGTAATCCAACAGTGTCAGGGCCTGGAGTCAAATCACGATTAGCACATTTATTCCCAAATACTTTTTGTAGTCAACATATTGTGCACATTACAACTGACGTTTTCATCCAGAAGAACAAAATTTAAAGATGCATGACTGTTATTCAGTGGAGCTAGTGAGTGTGGGTGGATGGCCAACAAGTACAGAGAAGCTACAGTTTACAAAGTCAGATTAAACAACAACACTCATGTCTTTTCATGAAATCACCTTGTAGACATGTCTCCAGTTCTTGCCGCTGTCATTGAGGCGCTTCCACACCATACCCATGACCTCAGCAAACGCCACCACATTGAAGGTTAAGTCAGCAATCTCTGACATGAGAGACGAGGATGGCCCCCATGGATCGTTTGAGGTGGCCTCACGAACCTGCACGTTGGCAGCACAGGAATAACATCCATTTATGTTTTACGTCTGAGAGATCTCAAGTGCTTATCTGTATGATGGTCAGCAGTGAAAGAAGCACAGACTTTTTGTTTTTAATCTAATATGACTAATAAACAGTGACACTTGAAGAAGATAGCACATTTAATACAATACCTTGATCTCTGCTTCTGAATAGTTGTGTACAATATTCTTCACCTGCCTGCGCAGGGCTGAGGTTGTCATGGTGACAGATGATGGGGAAATATGGAGGGAGAGAAGGCGATAAACAAACGGTCAACGGTTTAAGAATGGGGGAGAAGAGGGAAATGTGGATGGGAGGAGGGGAAGAGTGGGGAGGTAGCTATGCCAGTGAAGGCTCCTCTTTTCTGTCGGGAATTGTAAGATGCCCCTGTAAGAAAGAAATGAAGATGATATATAAAAAGTATGAACAGTATGACTTTTATGAAGTACTTTTACGTCTTTCTCGATCTGCCCTGGTTGATGCAGAAACATAATGCAGCCCTCGTCTTGGGCTTGTACACATCCAATCATCAAATCTCAAATATGTTGTTATTTTAGCTGCCTTTCCACATATGCAAGCTGCTTTGCAACCCGCCAAGCTCCTCCCTTGATGCTGTCTCTAATTTACGTAATGCTCTGTTTGTTGTCACTGATGCCTGCTGTATTGTGTGGATAGTGGCGCTACCCACTCTCCTGGTGGTGTGCTTCTCTCCACACCTTCAGTGGACCTTTCATGATGATAGATGAGGACTTTGAGTGATTTCCAGACCAGATCCAGTTTTATATGTTGTACACAGTGGCTGGACATTTGTAAAGCTAGTGGAGCAGTTGCTGCTATTGTTGCATTTGTGTACTTCCATAGTCATTGATTTCACCGTTTCATATGTGCTGACTCAATCAGAAATCACCAATAATGTATCAAGAAAACCATCAACAGACTGACACTGCCCTCTAACTTGACCATCACCACTAAATCAACAAGCTAACTTAAAAGCAATTTCTTTGTTGTCTGTGTCAATTAGAGAACAGTGAAATGACAATGTAAACAATGACTGACAGAGCGGTTTCTAGTTTGTGCTCCGTTATGGAGAAGTAGGTCATACTAAAACTCTGGCACTCAGGTGTTTGATGAAGCTACTTGGTAGCTTATATTATTCAGGCCACCGTGCACAGTCTGTGTGCGCGTAGACACACACTTGCAACCCAATTTGCTCTTCCAAATTCGTATTTCACAAAGGACATGGGGGAATTGATCATTAAGGGTTCCTGTGATACATTTCCCTCTGCCAGCGACTATAAGCTTCCACTGACACAGAACGTAATTAACCTACTAAACCAAAGCTGAGCTAGGGTGACCCCCCCCCCCTAAATTAAATCTCTTTTCATCTGTCTTCAACTCACTAAATTGTCAGATGACAGAAAATATACTTTTAAAAAAATCCCCCTAATGACAAGGTGAACCTTTGAGTTTCTTAGTGTTTGAATACATTGGCCAGATGTGGCAATCAAATATGTATCCTTTGTCTTTGTACCATAAAGAAACGTGCTGATCAAAGATCCATAACTGCCAGAGAGAGACGAAAACTCTCCACAATACAGATGAGTGTCCATCCCAGTTCAGTGCTGGTAAGAAGATCGCCAGAGGGTATGATCACATGTGATCACCTATTTCTGTGTTTATGATAATTATCTTAAGAATAT